GCGTCTCCCCATCAACGACAAAGCATGTCAGCGGTATGGAAGCATTTTGAAGTTTCAGGTGAGGACACCAAAGTTGCAATATGCAACATTTGTTCTGCGAAAATATCAAGAGGAGGTACGGTGCCAAAGAACTTTTCGACAACATGTTTGATACACCACCTGAAAAAAACATCCAATTGAATATGAGGAGTACCGAAAAGCCTTATATAACCATTTGCTGTGGTGTAATGAATGATTCATAACCTTTTCCCATGGTTCAATTTACTTTCTTGCTGGATAATCTGTAAACCTGCTGGTAACATGAACATCTATAGTGAGAACACAATGAAGCAGCAAATCCACAGCCAGTAAATGTAGAGAATATACAGTGGTGACATTAACCATGTTCAGTGAATGCTAGACGCCACTGTAATTGGAAATTAACACTCTAGTGTAATGACTTTTTTTTCCTAATGTATTTGAAGGGACATTTGACGACACTCTGTGCGTTTTAACTAACAGACTTTTAGGCATTATACACTCTGTGTAGCTGCATTATCACTCTGTTTGTTCCCATGATGCTGCTTTCATGGTGTCTTCCTAGCCAGGGCCCTGTTCAAGAGCACTTTTCTATGCAGCACATTTAAAGCGCTTTCACACTATTTGCCCATTCACCCATTTTCTTTGTATTCATACAAACACACATACAGACTCACACATGATATGATATCAAGTGACTTTGATTCTTCAACATGTGGACTGGAGAAGCTGGAGATCGAACCACCAACTTTACACTGTTATTGTAACAATCCCATGCTTTTCGCTGTGGACCTATTGTAAGCTTTGCTGTGAGAGCAGGCTGAAAGGGACCAGTCAGGATGCTCAGTGGACCAGATATCACACACTCTTATTCAAGGTGTATTATTAGATCTTGTGATGGCCAAAGGTCCTGGCTCTCAGTTGAGTTGTGCTGTTACTGAATTCAAGCCAATCAATCTGACATCCCTTGGGCATCATTTTCCGCCCACTCTGTCTTGCAGAAGGGGGATGTCAGAGTGAGGGCAGTGGATTACCTTGTGCTGTGCTTGTTAAAAGCTTTTATTCTCGATAATCGTATCTCATTGGGACACACAAAACTCCCTTAATTAGAATCCAAGACTTTATTTCCCTCCCTCAGCCTTTTAATTCCACATAATAAAATCCAGGTCAAAATTAGATTTTGTTTTTGGCAAGCGAGTACAACCTGAGCACCTGTGCAGGTCAGAGGAGGCAGCTTGCAGGTGCTGGTATTATGGCCGCAGGCGAGAGGCCATGAGGGGAGGAAATGAAAGGTTTCAATATAGGCTCTTTTTGGAACACTTGTGCTTTATTTCGTCTCCTGTAATGGACAGGTGGGAAGGATTTTCTGGTTTCTTCCGTCCGTTTTTTCCAGCATACTTTCAGCTATGAAAACGTTCAGGTATCAATGTTCAGCTTTTTAAGGACATTTATGCTATTTTTCTTTTTTTATAACCTTTTTATACTTTTTAAGCTTTTTAGTGTCTTTCAGTAAAATTTTGCCCATTCAAATGAATGGGAAAATTCAACTTCAGCATACTTTCAGCTATCAAAATGTTCAGCTCTTCAAGGACATTCATACTTTTATTGAGAAATTTTAAAAACATCATACTTTTGAAATATTTAGCTTTATTTTGAAGGTTTTGCCCCATTCAAACGAATGGGAAAATTCTACTTTACCATACTTTCAGGTATGAAAATGTTCAGCTCCTCAAGGATATTCATGCTTCTATTAACCTTTCAAAACATCACACTTTTAAAATATTTAGCTTTATTCTGAAAAGTTTGCCTCTTTGAAATGAATGGGGAAATTCTACTTCAGCATACTTTCAGGTATTTCAGGTATCAAAATGTTCAGCTCTTCCAGGACATTCATTCTTTGTCTCAGAATTTGTATACACTTCACACTTCTGAAATATTTAGCTTTATTTTGAAAATTTCCCCCCATTCAAATTAATGGAAAAATTGTACTTGAGCATACTTTCAGGTAGATATGCCTTTCAGGTGTCTAAATGTTCAGCATTTTATTAAGTTCAGCATACCTTGAGCTAAAAAAGCCATTCAGGTATCAAAATGTTCAGCTCTTCAAGGCCATTCCTGATTTATTACTTTATTGCATCTCATCCTTCAGATTATTCAACAAAGAACTTTAGCCATTTCTTCTAATTTTTCTGCTGTTTCAGCAATTGATTTCAGGCATTTTCAGGACGATCTTTCAGCTTATCAGCATCCACAAGCAGTTACGACAGGAAATGCATTTCTTTAGTTCAGGTCTGTTGCTGAATTGGTTGTGCTAGCACTTAGCATTGCTAACCAGTCATGGAGACTGCAATTATGTTAATATAGTGCAGATTATATACATGCTGGCTAATGAGTTTGTCATGCACTATATTGATAGCTCCCCATGTGTTGGTTTGAAGAGGTACACAGTAGCTCTGACAGCTGCATTAGTATACTCTAGGTATTTCTCCTAATACACGTCTATAAATTCATTTTAAGAACCCTTATATCTGTTTTTTTAGGTTTCAGTCCACGTGGAGACCGAGGAGGAAGAGGTGGAGGATGGGGTGGAGGTAGAGGAGGATTTGGTGACAGGGGAGGACGAGGAGGATTCCGAGGAGGAAGAGGTAAGATTGGAGGAAATGGATGATGCATCATCAAGCATATAAATGAATTCCTGTCTCATTTCTATGGGTGATGTGTCGTTCTCAACCTCGGGTCCTCTACTAGAGACCTGAGTTGTCAGATTCTTTGTACCATCTTTGCTGTTCCCAATATTGCAATCTGGACAGAGAGCTCTGTTCAGGGAATCAGGTGGAATGACTCTCAGCTTAGAAGGCTGTGCAGTGCCTAGAGTATTCACCTCCTTGGATGTTTTACCCTTTTGATTTTATAAATCCAGTCATGGTCAATATAATTTGGCAAAAAAATACAAAAAACCTCTTTAATGTAAAGTCACGGTGATCAGCGACAACGATGAGTCAGCCTACAGGGAGGAGATACAGCACCTGGCTGTGTGGTGCCCTAACAATAACTTGCTCCTTAACACCGACAAGGCTAAAGAGCTCATTGTGAACTACACGAGGGAGAAAGGAGGCACACACGACCCCATCCATATTAACGATCCAACCATCCATGGTTGTTGAACGTGTCTCCAGCTTCAAATTCCTGGGGACCCACATCTCAAAGGATCTGTTCTGGACCACTAACACCCGCAGCCTGGTTAAGAAGGCTCACCAGTGCCTCTTCTTTCTGAGGACACTGAAGAAGAACCAGCTGTCTTCAGATGTCCTGGTGAACATCTACTGCTGTGCCATCTAGAGCATCCTGACCAGCTGTATCAGTTTGGTATGAAAACTGCACTGCCTCTGACCACAAGGTGCTGCAGCAACTGCCCACCGCATCACAAGGACTTTACTTCCAGCCTTTGAGGGTGTCCACAGGGAAAGCTGTGTCCGACGTGTTTGAAGCATTCTCAAGGACTCCTCTCACCCTGCTCACAAACTGTTTGACCTCCTGCCCTCTGGGAGGCACTTCAGGAGCCTCTGGACCAAAACTAGTAGAACAGTAGGAACAGCTTCCTCGTTACTGTCTCCTTACTGAACTCTGTTCCCTGTTGACCCCCCACTGCCTTCCAATATACCACTACATACTCCTCTCCCCTTCTCATCTCTCCTCCTAGGACTAATGTAATACATTTCTGTTACCTGTAACACTGAAGTGATCTATTAATTTGCACATAATCGCAGAATACTGCTGTTATTCATTTGCACACTGTTCATATGCAGATACTGTATATTCATCTTTGCACTATTTACACCCATTGAACTATTCACTCATGCAACTTGTCTTCTGCACTGTTTCATTCCATTTCATCCCATTGCACTAGTTTTATAAGCCTAATGTTCCTTATCCATTACTGTAATATGAATCATAGTCTGTTGTACATTACCCTACATATCTTACTGTAAATATCAATTGTACATATCCATCGGTAAATTAGTTCTGACTGTACAGACTGTAGATACTCAAACTCTGCACTGCTGTTGTTGTGTGGATGCTGTACCACACTATGCTCTTCTGTTCTTTATTGTATGGATGCTGATTCAACATCCATACTATGGTATCCAGTTATTTATTATTATTGTATGGATTCTGATTCATCATAGAAACACCATTCAGGTATAAAAATGTTCCGCTTCTTCAGGACATGCGCGGATCTATTCAGAATTTTCCTAAATTTCATACTTGTTGAAATATTCTGCATTATTTTGATAATTTTGCCCCATTCAAATGAATAGGGAAATTGAACTTCAGCATACTTTCAGCTATCAAAATGTTCAGCTCTTTTGAAAATTTCCCCCCATTCAAATGAATGGGAAAATTGTACTTCAGCATACTTTCAGGTAGATGTGCCTTTCATGTGTCAATGGTCAGCATTTTCAGGGCGATCCTTCAGCACATAGCATCCACACGCATTTTCGACAGGAAATGCATTTCTCTAGTTGCGCTTCTGGTTATATTCCAAACTGTATTTCGTTGCCTTGTACTTGTACATGGGTAATGACAAAGTTGAATCGAATCTAATTTGCCATGTTTCTTAAAAGTTCTGGTGGATTTTGTGTCTGAGACAAGCCCCCCACACTCCCCTGTTTGACCTGTACCTGCCAGCTGTGAGTCTAGATTTGTAGTCAGAATAAGGCTGAATGAAAGCTAGTTACTGATTAAAGTGTTTTTTCTTTTTAAACCTTACCCAGAGTAAGGAGATTTTTTTTTTCTTAAAACGCCTATGGCAGAATTAGTAAGATGGACTAATTCTGACTTCTCACACTCTACTGCTCTATGCTTCACTAAGACTTGACTCAGCAACTCCATTTTGCACAGTGCAATACAAATACAGTGGAACCTTGGATTGCGAGTATAATTCATTCCGGCAACGTGGTCGTAATCCAGAACACTCGTATATCAAAGCGAATTTCCCCATAAGAAATAATGGAAACTCAGATGATTAGTTTCATCACCAACGTATCCATATATAAATGATTACAGTAATACGAAATACAGTATAAAGTAACTAACGAAGCCAACAGCTGAATATGCTAATAGCTGATTGTTACTAGCCGCGGTGCTTCAGTGGAATGGGCCCAAAAAAGAATACGCAGAGAGAGGAAGTCTAGGTCTCTGGATTTCTTAACCGATGAGATGACTGCGGTGAAGAAGCAGCAGAATTGGCTTGTGGAACTTTTGGAGGAGGTTAAACAGCTGTGCCTCCAAAACTTTGAAAAGGATAAACGGATTGTCGACCTAGAATGGAGGGTGGACGATCTGGAGCAATTCTCCTGGATGAAGGATTTGCTCAACACCGGTATTTCCATCAAACCATGCTCGTATGTGTGTGCGGTAGCCGCGAACAGCGGAGATGAGCCTGGGGGAGGAGGAAATGCGCTCTGTGGAGCAACAAGTGGTAGCCTTTCTTCAGAGCAAAGAAATTGAGCTGGACCCGGAGTGCATTGAAGCATGCCACCCTCTCTACCTAGAAGGATCAACGACGACAGACCAGCGGTCATTCTGAGATTTGTCAGTAAAAAAATAAGATGACATTGTTAAAGCAAGGTCGCAAACTCAAAGGGACGAATGTGTGTATATATAAATGAGTACTTAACAATAAAGAATGCAGATATAGCCAGGAAGGCAAGATACCTCAAACAACGAAAAATCCAACAAACATGGTAACAGATGGCAAAATCTTCATCAAGTTAAATGGATCCCATGAGGAGACGAAAATTCTCATAAACCATGACGATTATCAGTGACCACAATGCAATTTATCATCTTAACAATTAAGGTAATGTCTTACCTACACTATCACAATGAGTACTGAACCGCATATAGGTGGTCAAATGAATAATTGCACAGAGACAGACCTACTGTAGAAAATTGAACTTCAACAACTGGATCTGGGTGCAATGGAATACACTGAGTTTAACATGATGTAGAGACGGATATTGATCCTGATAATTGTTTCTACTATAAATTGTAATTATACAAATGAACAATATTCTAATAATTCCATTACTAAGGATAAATTGTCTATTATCCATTTCAATAGAAGTATGTATACAAATTTTAATGTAATAAGAGAATAAAGAATTTTGTTTATCCCTTCAGTGTTATAGCTATATCTGACACCTGGTTTAATCAAGAGAAAGGATTTGATTTGGATATAGAGGATTTTGACGTCCATTATGTAAATAAACAAACAAATTAGGAGATGGGGTCGTGTTTTTTTTTTTATATATGTGTGTGTGTG